GCATACACTCGACCCTTCACAGACAGCCGGATGTCGCGACGGTGCCACAGATGTCTCAAGTTAGCAAATGCCAACCGAGCCTTCTGTATGCGAGCTGACACTTCATCCGTGATGCGTCCACCGGGTGAGATGTAGCTGCCCAAATAACAAAACTTATCCACCTGCTCTATTACTTCCCCAGTTAGAGTGAGACTGGGTGTTGGACCAACCCAGTCTTGCAGTAACATTTTACACTTTGAAGGTGTAAAACGCATACCGAATATGGCTACACTGGCATTCAAGTTATCCAGAAAAGCTTGCAACTTACATGGATCTTCACTTAGTAGCACAATGTCGCCTGCGTACTCCAGATCAGACAGCCTGCCACCTGTGGTGGCCGACTTATGCATGGCGTTACTGTTGCGAGCCCAATGGGGATAAAAGACTGTTTATATCAGTAGCTAACGTGTTCCGGTAGGCGGTATCTACGTTTGGGTCGGCTAGTTTCATCAAATTGAGTCTTCTCGGGTGAAGCTGTGGCTTTCCACCGAAGCATAGAGAGAATTACACGCTCATGAGTGTATGATCAGAGCTGTAGCAGGTACTCCAGATGGATTTCATTCCGTTATGTAATTTCTCCATCGACAGCTGGTGGTAATATGAACTATTTGAGTTCAAAGCTGATGGAGGACACCAAGTGGCACGATGGCACTATAGCCAGAAAACATCGGTGCCTGATAGGAATAGACCACGGTCAGAGCAGGTTTGCAGTCTATGCTAGTTATCAGCGTCTAACCTATCTACTTGCGCGTTTAAGTCACCAAAGTGCCAAAATGTCATCGTATCGCGTCTACTGTGGAGGATGTTGGTGAGCTGATGGCAGAACTCGTCTTTTACTGCATCGGGACTGCGGTCTTTTTGCGAATAGGTCGCGATGACAAACAAATCATTGCCTTTGGTCTTACTGAACCAACTAGACGGATAATGCAGTCGATTGGAATCAAGTGGCGTAATGCGGCTTCTTCATGTTCACTCAGCGCTATACCGTACTGGCCTGACCAGTGACTTGTATCATTGGATCACCCGAGATGCGAAAGGTGAATGAGTTTGTAGAAACAGGAGAAAGTTAAGCGAGTTGCAGTACGGTGCTCGAATGCTGTAGATATATGTCCCAGCAAGACAGCAAACGTCCAGTGCAGGCGTTTTCAATGTACTGTTGAGTACTGCCTGAGACCCAATTTGGATAAGCGTGAGTGTTGAAAGTAGCCAACTTTAGCCGCGACTGGGGCGCGAGTACTGTTCTCCGAATAAACTGAGTGTGTGCTTGTTTCTTCCGCATGTGTACGAGGTTGTGCCTTCTTTCGTTGTCTTGAACAACACATTGTTAGAAACTCGAAATAATGGGTGATAAATTTAGCCGGTGAACCCTACCACAACCAAGGTGTGATCGGACATCTATTCTTGGTTAGTTTGAAGTTAGGGTTTTTAGCCGACACTCCAAGGTTAATTGCCAATGGTTAACCGACCCGGTTATAGCCCCCAGATGTTGGATTTTCGTCCTCTCACTTTAGTGGAAAAACACCACCACGGGAAGATAGTGGGTAGGATTCCCTCAGCAGATGGTGTTTGAGNAAGGTAAGCGAGTATGCAGGAAGTAGATAAGGATTGGGAGTATTTCGGGGTATGGAGAAAGCGAATTTCTAAGTTCAACGCGAAGCACATATTCCAACTTGGCATGGACACAATTACAAGCCTACTGGTCTGATAAGAGGAGAACAAGAATATCATTGTTGTCGGGTTACTGCCAGCGTTTCTAATCGACCGGACCAGTCCCCATCCCGGAAGACGAGAAACAACTACCCGGTTTTTTTCTAATCTGGAGTGGTCACTGCAAATAAGGCATGGTGCCGTAGGTAACCGGTAGACACACGCGAAACGTGTCCTAACCAACAGGGGCTATTGAGCTAAATACATAAGATAACTAGCTCCTCATGTACGGCGCATTGCAAACACCCGGCGAATTGCATCTAAGTTACTGACCCGCTCACTCCATCCCATTTGGACCAAACTACGTAAGCACCGCTAAACGACGATTGTCTTCTACCCGCAAATTCAAGGTCTCACAGCCAGACAAGACAGAACTGATCGAACAATCACGCAGTATATGCCACTTTTCAAATTGAATGAAACGCCGCGTCTACGCCACAGACGTTTCAGTCCTGTGTACTCCCGTCAATTCTTGCAAATGTGCGCGACCGTTATCGGTCACAACCGCCTAGGTAGGAATAGCAATCTACAATAACTAACTCCTGATCGTTTGTCGCAAAGCGAAACTGGTCGACACCAAATATTGTAGCATCACTTCGCACTTCGAAGGTGCAAAGCGCACACCAAATGGAGTTACATAAAGTCTGTCAAGAGCTCCTCGCACATCCTCTACACATTCGGACAAACAAACAATGTCATCAGCATACTCGAAATCACACAGCTTTTCTCCAGTTGCCCATGCAATACCAACATTTTGGAGACCAATTTTTGCGTTCTATGGAGTTCCATCAATGATGAAAGTGAACAGAAATGACGAAGTAGGGCATCCTTGACGAACACCGCTGACAGTTTCGAACGGTCAAATCAACTCGCCATAGACCCTTACGCTACCAGAAATATGCGAGTAGAGCAAAGTCAGTATGTTTACATACTTCTGCGGCATTCCTTTGCGAGGGAGCGGACCCATAATGGCTTCGCGACCAACGGAATAGAAGGTTCTTCTTAGGTCAGGGAACACAACCGTTGATTGACGGCGTGTATGGCGTAGTTCGAAGACTTGACGTAACGTGAAAATTTGGTCGATACGACCGCGACGGGTCGAAATCCTGCTTGTTGTTCACGGATATATGTGTCCCTGAAGGGTGTCCGATGTCGAAGTCTGACGGGGCTGTGCTTTCGCTTGCTGAGATTTATGCTTTCAGTGTGTGCAGGTCAAATAATCGGTATTTGCGAGGGGGCAATCTGCTTTTCCCTCGACCGGTTGTTATTTTCGTTACCCATCAAGTTAACACCCAACTGGGGATTTTAGACATAAGACGCTTGCGTGCATTAACAACTAACCTCTATCTGTAAACAAATTGTATCGACAAGACAAAACATTTATCATGTTTTACCTGGTTTACTATTTGCTTTTGCAATTAAGTATCATTAGCTGCTTATTGAGTACCATCATGTCTCGCGTATTATATCCTTACCTTAAGAGGTATTGTGGGAAACGTGCGACTTCAGGTGTTGGGCTCAACGGTTTTTCAAAGCTATCAGACGAGCTTTACAAACTATGCAGCACCTGTGGGGTGTTTAGGAATCTGAAATAGCCCCGCAGATAGTTAACGCAGCAGTAAAAGGTTGCCACAACTCCTGGGTTAACAGAAACGAGGTAGAAACACTACGCGTAAGTGTTACCCTATTTAAG